ATTTGCAATGGACCTGGTAGTGGAGAAACGGTCCCTTAAGGCCAATAAGCTTAGGCGGCGATCTTCACGGTCTGTTGTTCTACGGCGGCGTCCAGTGCCCCTTGCTCTTTGCGTACGGCCTTCTCGAAGCCATGCCTGACAACACCTACCCACAGTGTCTACACTTCTTTGCACTCTAACTGCAATTGCCCGAAAAGAAAGTCCAGCTTCCCGAAGTCCCACTATACGGCCCCTATCAAACTCACTAAGTTGACGAAATCGTACAGGTCTCCGTACTCTAGGCATCGTAACCTATCGTAAAGGATGTCAAGAACCAAAATCCGCCAACGCTGATTCTTTACTGCGGCTGAAATATTCATTTTTAGAGCGTTAGTGAATTAAAAAAAAGCAGTATAAAAACCGGAATGTCCAACTGATAAGGCTGAAAATTTCTTCACTTGTTATTTACAGTAAGATAAATACATTCACCAACTTTTATTAAAATAAAACCATTTAAACTGGGTGTTCGGATTTGTATGTCACTTAGTATAAGAGCAGAAACTCAAGAAATTATAGCTATCTATATGGATAACTGAACCTCTTACATTCATAATAAATTGGATTTTTGAAATTGGTAATTATCCCAGTGCATTCAAAACGGCTTTAATTACACAAATACATAAAAGTGGAGATAAATCAGAATTAAATAACTAAAGACCAGTTTCTGTAAAAACAAATTTGGCGAAGATATTTGAAAAAATTCTGAAAGTACTACTAGATCAGTTTATTGATGAATTCAAATTAATATATCTGAACCAAACTAGTTTAAGTCGAAATAAATAGTTTTTCAATAATTGTATTTGGAATATTTTGCTTTCATTGTATCTGTATTGTATGCGACTTGACATGAGTTAAAAAGTCGTCCTTATTATTCCAGATAGATGGAAGATATAGCAAATGAAAATTCACAATATTATTATAAGCTTAACATATTTAACTCATTGTTGACAAAAATGGACTTAACCTAGTCTAGCTCTGGGGTACAGATCTGATTCACAGTTTGGCTCTGGAAAAGGTGTATCTACCAAAGATAGGAAGGTTTATCATGGAGGCTGGGAAGATGAAGAACAATCAAAAACTGGGAGAAATTGATCTGAATTGCGTGCAAGATCTCATCAGGATCCGATAAGTATGTTGTGCCAAAACTTTTATTACATACGATACTTAGTACGTTGCCGTAAACTTTAGATCGTATTAGAGCAGATTATTTATCAAGTGCAATACAGATTCTTCATGAAAAGTTGTGCATGTGTAGCAGATCAGGTTGCAGGCGAAACTGCTCCGCATATATCATGAAGGGGTAACAGCGTGTCGTAAATCTGGTTTATGCTCTACATTCCGTTTTCTCCGCACTAAATTCTTGTAGCAAATTGGATACTAGGAACTGCACTTAATTATACGTACTTCTCCTGATTATAATTGGAAACCGCAAACAAAACAGAGGGCGTATTTGCCATGACACGGGGTTGCGAGAGGAAGGAGTGCCATTTGTTTTGAAGTTGAATGGCGTTTTCCAGCAGAGCGATGTGTAGCTTCAATTAAAGGTTTTCGTGTTGTGGTATAGAATTAAATTGCTCAATTAAAACCCATGTCGTGGATGTTGTTCAAAATAGTATCTACAAACCTGTAAGGAAATATACTAAGTGACATATAAATCCGAACACCCAGTTTAAATGGTTTTATTTTAATAAAATTTTGTATAAGTACTTAATGAAGCATAATAAGTAAATGACAAAAATTTCAAAATGATTGCACTGCTTTAAAGCCCTTTGACCTTTAATAATGTGTGGATGCACCCTGATGTGCTACGCATTCTCCAACGCGCCTAGGCATGCTTCTGATCAGGTGGTCAATGTCCTCCTGTGGTATCTCATTCCAGGCAACCACCAACTCCTCTCGAAATGCTTCTAGAGTCTGAGGAGGACGTTGCAAATTGAGCAATCTCCTACCCATCATATCCCACACGTGCTCAATTGGGGATAAGTCGGGAGATCTTGGTGGCCATGGTAACAATGTGACATCATTATGTTGAAAGAAGTATATTGTGACTCTTGCAACATGTGGTCGGGCATTATCTTGTTGGAAAGTTGGATCGGCCAGGGTGTCAAGATAGGGTAAAAGATGGGGTTCTAGAACTTCGTGGATATAACGCTGCGCGTTCATGTTACCTCTGATGAAGATTAAAGGTGACCTGGAACTATGGTTCCATAGCTTATGAGCTATGGCACCCCAAACCATAACTCCAACAGTGTGATGAACATGTCTTTCAACAAAAAACTGTGGATTCCTCCTTTCACCACGTCGCCTTCTAACCCTGGCACGACCATCGTGCATGCCTAAACAAAATCGAGACTCGTCACTAAAGACAATACTGTTCCATTCCTGATCCCAGAGTGACCGTTGTCTGCACCACTCAAGGCGATTACGTCGGTGTTCTCGAGTTACAGGGAGGACCCAGTGTGACCGGTATGAACACAAGCCAAAACTTCTCATTCGTCGGTAAACACTTCGCATGCCAATAGGTCTTCCGTGTTCTGCAAACCATTCATTTGCAATGGACCTGGTAGTGGAGAAATGGTCCCTTAAGGCCAATAATCTTAAGCGAGTCGCGTTAACCAAAATCCGCCAGCGTTGATTCTTTACTGCGGCTGAAATAGTCATTTTTAGAGCGTTAGTGAATTAAAAAAAAGCAAAAAGATAAATACATTCACCAACTTTTATTAAAATAAAACCATTTAAGCTGGGTGTTCGGATTTATATGTCACTTAGTATAATATACGAAAAGGTCGCACCCCCGGTTGTGACTGTCCTGGCATATTTTGGAATAAACGCTAGGACGCGTCAATTTTGATTTATTGTATACAGGATGATCCAAAAATGAAATATTGAGATTTTTAAATTTTATTTTAATTTTTGGATTTTCCATGAAGTCTTTAGTAACTTTTGTATAACAAAGCTTATATCTATCTTTAATAGCAGACAAAAATATTAACGCTAGGTAACAAGTCGCATATCACTGAATCATTGTGCTCAAAATATTTCGCAGTTCAAGTCCTTAGATGGCGATGGTAGCTCCGGCTGCAGTTTTCTTGCCTCTGCAATTGCATGTTCAACAACTGCATCGTCTCTTGTCTTGTTTCTAGTCAGTACATAGCAGAAAGCTGAAATCGAAATAATAATAAAAGGTCTTTATATACTAAGTGACATATAAATCCGAACACCCGGTTTAAATGGTTTTATTTTAATAAAAGTAGGTGAATGTATTTATCTTTTTGCTTTTTTTTAATTCACTAACGCTCTAAAAATGAATATTTCAGCCGCAGTAAAGAATCAACGTTGGCGGATTTTGGTTCTTGACATCCTTTACGATCGGTTACGATGCCTAGAGTACGGAGACCTGTACGATTTCGTCAACTTAGTGAGTTTGATAGGGGCCGTATAGTGGGACTTCGGGAAGCTGGACTTTCTTTTCGGGCAATTGCAGTTAGAGTGCAAAGAAGTGTAGACACTGTGGTTAGGTATTGTCAGGCATGGCTTCGAGAAGGTCGTACGCAAAGAGCAAGGGGCACTGGACGCCGCCGTAGAACAACAGACCGTGAAGATCGCCGCCTAAGATTATTGGCCATAAGGGACCGTTTCTCCACTACCAGGTCCATTGCAAATGAATGGTTTGCAGAACACGGAAGACCTATTGGCATGCGAAGTGTTTACCGACGAATGAGAAGTTTTGGCTTGTTTTCATACCGGCCACACTGGGTCCTCCCTTTAAGTCGAGAACACCGACGTAATCGCCTTGAGTGGTGCAGACAACGGTCACTCTGGGATCAGGAATGGAACAGTATTGTCTTTAGTGACGAGTCTCAATTTTGTTTAGGCATGCACGATGGTCGTGCCAGAGTTAGAAGGCGACGTGGTGAAAGGAGGAATCCACAGTTTTTTGTTGAAAGACATGTTCATCACACTGTTGGAGTTATGGTTTGGGGTGCTATAGCCTATGGTTCCGGGTCACCTTTAATCTTCATCAGAGGTAACATGGACGCGCAGCGTTATATCCACGAGGTTCTAGAACCCCATCTTTTACCCTATCTTGACACCCTGGCAGATCCAACTTTCCAACAAGATAATGCCCGTCCACATGTTGCAAGAGTCACAATAGACTTCTTTCAACATAATGATGTCACATTGTTACCATGGCCACCAAGATCTCCAGACTTATCCCCAATTGAGCACGTGTGGGATATGATGGGTAGGAGATTGCTCAATTTGCAACGTCCTCCTCAGACTCTAGAAGCACTTCGAGAGGAGTTGGTGGTTGCCTGGAATGAGATACCACAGGAGGACATTGACCACCTGATCAGAAGCATGCCTAGGCGCGTTGGAGAATGCGTAGCACATCAGGGTGCATCCACACATTATTAAAGGTCAAAGGGCTTTAAAGCAGTGCAATCATTTTGAATTTTTTATCATTTACTTTTTATGCTTCATTAAGTACTTATACAAAATTTTATTAAAATAAAACCATTTAAACTGTGTGTTTGGATTTATATGTCACTTAGTATATATACCGAACATTTTACTTACACACATTTGATGTACAGTCATAGAATACTGCGTACGAATCATAGTCCAGCGCCAGAAATGAAACCTGAATTTCTGAAAAAAAAACATAATCTATGTTAGCCACTAAAATTAGTCAACTCTAGCATCTTAAGAAGCGTAAATGGCAAAATTGGTACTGATCACATAGTCGCGATTTGAGAAGCGTCTGCACCGTCTGACCTCGATTTACTAAGGGCTGTTTGCACCGTCTTAAGCTTAATACAAGGTGGACCCTATACCACAAATTTCTGTAAAAATAATAATTAAAAAACAAGAAACAGGACTGTGTTTTAAAATTAAAAACAAGCCTCCGAGTATTAAAATTAACAAAAAACAACTTACTTAAGTTAAAATAAAAAATAGTTTGCTATAAAGATGTAGGTCAATGTGGTAGTAAGTGCTGAAAGTGGTATCCATTCAGCCGTAATCCGCTAACAAAGATCTTGAACGGGATCTGGCTTTGTACTAAAAACTTTACTTTTTAAATGTCCCCAAAGTAGAGGACTTCTGAAAGTGTGATTTAAAATTCCTTACCAAATGAATAGTTGAGAGTATTTTTCATCAACGGTTTTGGCGTTCTTTTGCCGCAAATTAGCTTAGAAGGAAAGTCCCAACATTCAGGATATACTGTTTTTTGAGTCCGCAAAATGGTACATTTCATGTGCCAAAGACGATCAAAACTGTGCAAACTAACTCTGGCGCGCAACATGTGCCACAGAATCTTCCAGACCATTTCATTCTTGGCATTTGCATCGGCACGTTTGCTTAAACGAAATGTTGCAGATGTCGTAGTAGAAGCGGTAGACCCCTTGTTCAAATGGACCTTAAACCAAATTCGCGGTTAGACTTACTTGTTCCGTTGGATGAGAATACGTAGCGATTCTGGTCCGTTGGTTCAAACACAATGGGCACCACTTGAGTTTGGCTTTGCCTGCAAAGATAAAGATATTGCATATTCCACAATTAGACACGATTTGTAATTATACCTCATTTAGGCAGAAGCAAAAAACGTGAAAGTGCTTTTCAAGATCTTTCCTGCCAATTCCCCGTCGATTCAAAGGGTTTCGTACACTATGCGGCAAGTAGCAGCGGGATTTCGATACAAAGATTATAATGGGTGATTTTTTTGCTAGTATCTTTTTGGCAACACCGTTTTTGACAGATGACGCGTGAATCGTGTCTTGTGTCATTGTCAAACTTATTCAGTTTGGTCTATAATTTAACCATGAATCGACTTACGAACGAACAACGCTTGCAAATTATTGAATTTTACTATCAAAATTCATGCTCGGTTAAGAGAGTGCATCGAGCACTGCTTCCAATATATGGGCAATTTGGTCGGCCTACTGAGGGAGCTATTCGGAAGCTTGTGACTAAATTCCGAACCCAGTTTACATTATTGGACATTAAACCGCCAATACGCAGACGTCGAGTGAGGATTGAAGAAAATATTGCGGCTGTATCCGCCAGTGTTAGTGATGACCGTGAAATGTCGATTCGCCGCCGTTCGCAGCAATTGGGCCTCTGCTACTCCACTAGGTGGAAAATTTTGCGACAGGATTTGGGTGCAAAACTGTTTGGTGTGGATTATGGGCCGTACTTCTTCAAAGACGACAATGGTCGGAACGTAAGTGTGAATGGCGAGCGCTACCGTGCGATGATAACAAACTTGTTTTTGCCCAAAATGGAAGAGCTGGACTTGGCTGACATGTGGTTTCAACAAGACGGTGCCACATGCCACACCGCACACGAAACAATGGTCCTATTGAGAGGCGAGTTCGGTGAACAGTTTATCTCACGTTTGGGGCCCGTCAATTGGCCGCCTAGATCGTGTGATTTAAGGCCGTTGGACTATTTCTTGTGGGGCCATGTTAAGGCTAGGGGATCGAGCAACGATTGGCGCACTGGAAGCCAATATTGAAGCATTTATTCGTGAGATACCGGCCGATATGTTGGAGAGAGTGTGCCAAAATTGGACCTTGCGTATGGGCCATCTGAAGCGGAGCCGCGGCCAACATTTACATGAAATAATCTTTAAACATTAAATTATATCGACCGTTCTATCGACTCAAATAAAGATTCAATCGTTTTTTCAATTTTTTTAAAAAATCACCCGTTATTACCTGTCTTTGTATTCAAAAGCACATGTGAAGCCATTGTCAGCAGCTGCTGAGTAGTTCGCCCTGAAGCATCCTGGGGTCACAAAAGGCGTCCCAAAACGGTGTTGAGCATACCATGCGCCACTGAACTGAAAAGAGGGGTGCTGTACTTTGTACCACAATTTGCTTAATAGAAAATACAGGGTGTCTCACAACTTATCCGACAAATTTTAACCACACATGCACTGGGTGAAAGAATTTGCTGAATAAGTTGTAATAAATTGAAAAATAAATATTTGTATTTTGCGTTCATCGTCGCGATATTAGAACACTCATTAATAATTTATTGTAGCAAATGTTGTACCAAACAACTGAGGAAAACAAAATACCAGGAATTTTTTGTGTTTTCTATACTAATAAGAACGTTTAAATAAGGTTTAGTCTGTATCGTGGGTGATCACTGATCAACAGCCAAAAAATATCCTAAATAAAATCAACAAAACATTACTATTTTTAATGTGCTAAAACCGGAATGAAACTTATGTTTTCAATATTAGTTCAAGTTTTAGAGATACGGCAATTATATGTGTTCCTGCTGTGACAGTGTTAATATACTGTAATTCACAAGAATGCACGTGCTACATTTTTATATTCGGCAAGGAAAGATGATGTAATCGGCATGATTGTGTTACGTTATACATACGTGTATATTATATGTATATTGTTTTATATTAGCCATTTTTTCCTCAGTTGGCTGACAGCGTTCATGCAAGATGTCTCGAAAGTGTGTAAACAATCCAGATCAGTTTTGTTACGTGTGTGGTGATGTGACTTTTGCGTCTCAGAGACGGTCTATTACTCCACTAATAACAAAGGCATATCAGCTTTATTTCGGTTGTAAACTAGGTGATCAAGACAAACAGTGGGCACCCCACATTTGCTGTAATACATGTGCTTCAAGTCTGAGGAGCTGGTTAAATGGCAAAAAACGGTCTATGCGCTTTGCTGTCCTAATGGTTTGGAGAGAGCCTACAAATCATATTAATGATTGTTACTTTTGCATGGTACCTTGTGTTGGACAAGCCACAGGTATGTCCAAGAGAAAAAAACGGTTATTAACTACCCAAACATACCATCTGCAATGAGACCTGTGCTTCACAGTGACGAAAATTCTATTCCAAAACCCCCAGAATCCTACACTTGCGAATCAGAAAAAGAATCAGATCATGGCGATCGAGTGATTCGTCGAAGAAGGTATGCCATCAACGTCAAGATATCCTGATTTTATACCGAGCACGTCATGCCACCAACCGCACAAAATAACACAGTCAGAATTAAATGATCTTGTAAGAAATTTAGAACTTCCAAAATGTAAGGCAGAGTTACTTGGATCAAGACTGCAGCAGTGGAACTTGTTAGAAGACGATGTTTCGGTATGTGTTTTTCGTAAACGCCACAAGGACTTAGAACCATTTTTCAATATGGCATTTCATTACACCAGACAAAACTGTCCTGTTCTTCAATTCCTAGAGCCAGGTCAAAAAAATGTACAGCATATGCCATTAGTAGATTCGAAGAAAAATTTATTAGCACCACTGCATATCAAGTTGGGCCTAATGAACAACTTTGTCAAGGCATTAGATAGAGATGAGTCAGCTTTTCAATACCTGCGTCAGAAATTTCCAAGACTAAGTGAGGCAAAGGTTAAAGAAGGTATTTTTGTTGGGCCACAGATTCGAAATATTTTGAAAGGTACACAGTTTGAAAACACTTTAACAGGTATTGAAAAAACTGCTTGGAATGATTTCCGTCTGGTGGTCACTAATTTCTTGGGAAATAGAAAAGCTGACAACTATAAAACCCTTGTCAAAAATATGCTGTCATCGTATCAAAAGATGGGCTGTAATATGTCTCTTAAGATACATTTCCTACACTCACACCTGGACTTTTTTCCTAACAATTGCGGAGCCGTAAGTGATGAGCAGTATAAAAACCGGAATGTCCAACTGATAAGGCTCAAAATTGTTTTACTTGTTATTTACAGTAAGATAAATACATTCACCAACTTTTATTAAAATAAAACCATTTAAATTGGGTGTTCGGATTTATATGTCACTTAGTATATTAACAACTTACCTGCTCGACGTCAAGTGGAAGAGCTGGAGGGTTAACAATACATAGCTGAGCACTCGCTATAGCAACTAAGGCTGAAACGAGCACTAGATGCAAAATCATTCTGTTATCAAAGAACATTTTTAATGTATTATGGATAAAACTTTTTTCTAATTTATATAATAATTGTCTGTTAGATTACACAGACTATTTAAATATTCAGACGTCTGGTAAATAGAATGTCAATGTAGGATATCTGAGCAATAATATTTACCGTCTGACTTGAGAAAACTCTTCCATCATGCGATCTGATACAAGTGTGAAACGTTTTACTATGCAAACACAAATACGATAACAATGATTATTGAAAAAAAGCTGAATTCATCACTCTTTATAGCCATTTTCCTTGTGGAATTTTATGACAGTGTGGTCTGACATGCTCTGCAGTTGACATCGGAAACATCCGCACCTTTAACCCTACTACGGTATATTAAGGTGATAGGTACACCTTCTTGGCAAGGTATAATAAATCCCTCAGTCTCAGACATTAACCCACTATACCTTAGAAATGAGAAGGTCAACTGCTTAGACAAGCCATGCACATCATGCATACGCTTGTTTCTTTGAAGCCTTAATAACTTGCTTCAGCAGTTTTTATATTGCTCTTCAGTTGAGCCAGGTCTGTAAGTAAAAAGTCCACGCCCTTCTTGGCATCTTGGGAGGTACTGGGTGCGCCATCTATTACTTTTTTTACCCATCAGTTTATGTGTTACCATGTCAGTCAAAAGTCATGTGGTATGCATAAATGAACTGTCAAAGCTATGTCATTCATAGTCATGGATTCGTTTACAACACAACAATGCATTTTCGTTATCCAAACTTATTACGAAAACGGTCGAAATATAAAAAATACTTTTCGCAAACTTCGCACTAGTTTTGGCCGACATGGACGCCCTACAGAGCCTGGAATTCGTCGGATTATTAATTGTTTTGAGGAAACTGACCATACCAATATGCTCGTCCAGCTCGTACTCAAACATAGCCGCAGTGAGTGAAACTGCGCGAGAAGATCCAACCACCTCGACTAGGCACCGCTCGCAACAATTGAGAATTAGTGAGACCACTTTACGCCGGATTTTACACATTGATTTACACCTCCATCCATACAAAATCCAACTAACGCGAGAATTGAAGCCGGCAGATCATCAACAGCGGCGTGTCTTTGTTAATTGGATTAATTTCTGATGAGGCTCAGTTTCACCACAACGGGTACGTAAATAAGCAAAATTGCAGATTCTGGGGGGCTGGAAATCCACACCAATATCATGAACAACCTCTCCATCCTGAAAAAGTGTCTGTTTGGTGCAGATTATGGGCTGGTGGCATCGTTGGACTATTCTTCTTTGAGGGTCATTGCCGTCAAGGGGGAACGCGGCATGTTAACAGACATTTGTGGTCACAATTGGATCGTATTGGTGACGACGATCTTTGGTTTCATCAAGACGGAGCAATGGCTCACACATCTCGCCAAACAATCGCCTTGTTGCACACGAAATTTCAAGACCGCATAATTTCACGAAATTCAGATGTCAGTTGGCCCCCGAGATCGTGCGATTTAACACCCTTTGACTATTTGCTTTGGGAATTTTTTAAAGGAAAAGTGTATGCGAATGGTTCCCGGACAATTCAAGACCTAAAGCCCAATATTCGGAAATTGCAGCCATAGACTCCGATTGTTCTGGGGAAGGTCATTGAAAATGTTTGATGGTCGGATGTTGGTGATGTTATTTTTCATACATAAATGGCATTTATCAATAAAAAAAGCGTGTTGATTTTCAAATAGAAAAAAAAGTGATAGATGTCGCAGCCTGTATATTCATGGAACTGAGGAATTGGGATGCAAAGTCCTGTGCATCTTCATCCTTTTTCGGGTTTTGGTGTCGAGTTGATACAGCTCGTCCGCTGTCGAATGGATGGCCGCGAAAGTGTTCAATAACACTTATACTATTCACCTTTCCTCACTTCCCTATTGGTCAACAATAGTTAGCAGTATAGGCACCGGGAATATACCATAGTCCTAGGGTGCGATGTTCATTTCCTTAAGCACCTTCCTGATAGTGTGTGCTGTTTTTAGGATCACTGGTTTCTGTAGTAAATGCAGGTTATGTTTTCCAGGAATGTCTTCTACCAAAATTGATATGCTCAATATCAAACCTGTTGCTCCTAAGACAATGGACACTACATTGGCCTTCATTCTCTACACCTCTATCTCCAAATCCTTGTACTTAATCATCTTTCCGGCTTCTTTCTCAATGAGGTTATAATCCGATGGGACTACAACATTTATAAGCATCCACTTTTTTTCCTGTGAGGGGGAGATCTTGGTGGCCATGGTAACAATGTGACATCATTATGTTGAAAGAAGTCTATTGTGACTCTTGCAACATGTGGTCGGGCATTATCTTGTTGGAAAGTTGGATCTGCCAGGGTGTCAAGATAGGGTAAAAGTTGGGGTTCTAGAACTTCGTGGATATAACGCTACGCGTTCATGTTACCTCTGATGAAGATGAAAGGTGACCTGGAACCATAAGCTATAGCACCCCAAACCATAACTCCAACAGTGTGATGAACATGTTTTTCAACAAAAAACTGTGGATTCCTCCTTTCACCACGTCGCCTTCTAACCCTGGCACGACCATCGTGCATGCCTAAACAAAAACGAGACTCGTCCATGTTCCATTCCTGATCCCAGAGTGACCGTTGTCTGCACCACTCAAGGCGATTACGTCGGTGTGGTGAGGACCCAGTGTGGCCGGTATGAAAACAAGCCAAAACTTCTCATTCGTCGGTAAACACTTCGCATACCAATAGGTCTTCCGTGTTCTGCAAACCATTCATTTGCAATGGACCTGGTAGTGGAGAAACGGTCCCTTAAGGCCAATAATCTTAGGCGGCGATCTTCACGGTCTGTTGTTCTACGGCGGCGTCCAGTGCCCCTTGCTCTTTGCGTACGGCCTTCTCGAAGCCATGCCTGACAACACCTAACCACAGTGTCTACACTTCTTTGCACTCTAACTGCAATTGCCCGAAAAGAAAGTCCAGCTTCCCGAAGTCCCACTATACGGCCCCTATCAAACTCACTAAGTTGACGAAATCGTACAGGTCTCCGTACTCTAGGCATCGTAACCGATCGTAAAGGATGTCAAGAACCAAAATCCGTGAACGTTGATTCTTTACTGCGGCTGAAATATTCATTTTTAGAGCGTTACTGAATTAAAAAAAAACAGTATAAAAACCGGAATGTCCAACTGATAAGGCTGAAAATTTTTTCACTTGTCATTTACAGTAAGATAAATACATTCACCAACTTTTATTAAAATAAAACCATTTAAACTGGGTGTTCGGATTTATATGTCACTTAGTATATTATTAATATTACTATTATTATTCAAATACGCTTTCTTGGAAAGTTCGTATCTTTCCATCAATCACTCGGAGATGTTTTTACTTTGTCTTGAAGATACTCAACTTTGCGCTCTTCCAGATTACAATTTTTTCCGGTTCAGATAACTACCATGGCTGAAATTGAATCACGCTGTATCCCACACACCATAAAATATCGCAGTAATAACCCACTAATTTTTATATTAAGAGCTAGATCGGCGACCTTACACATCAACAATCATAATTGACCGCATCTGTAAGTATAGATAAACGATGTCACTGATAGAAAATAACAGTTGGCGCTATTCCAGGCCTATCCAGCGCGATACTTACGTATGGAGTCAAACTCAATCTATCTTGATCTGGTCAGACGTTGTTAATATTTCACGTCGCCTAGGCGAATGTTCGGTTTCGCTCATTGCCGGGTGGTGGCTACACGTGTCAGCAAATGAAGGAAGATATTGATCTTATTAAGGATGATTTCGTGCTACGTCAACAAGGAAATGGATGATCGTCGCTAGGAGAGGCTGGGTACATTATATTACAGGTTCGTCGAAACCTAACATCAACAAATCTAACAATAGTAATAGTAATGCAAAATTAACCGGACAAACAAAATTTTGTTCAAATTAAATTTGAAATAACTCTTACTTTGCTTCAATTTCGTTAATTTTTTTCATCAAGTTGCAGGCAACTTTATTGTCATCATTATCGACTACCGATCTTGCAAAAATTGAAAATGTTTGTTGTTATATAGGGTGTAACTAAAATGAGCACTTTTTTCTTAGTTCGATGCATTTTTAATTATTTATGATAAAATAACGTTAAAAAGTCAGTATCTCGAAAATTTTTAGAAGTAGGCTGTGCCTGCAAATTATTTTTGAAATTGAAAGCAGAATAAGGTTAAACGTCAATTAGTTGACAGTTAGTTTTGTTGTCTGTTGAAACCTGAAACGTTTTTTTGCAATTGTGAATGCACGAAATTTAGTTTCTTTTACCTGTTTTTTTTTGTAAGTTTTATACAAATGCCATTTTTATTCTCCAATCAAGAGTTAGCGGATATTCATTTTGTGTCTGGCTTTGTAAATGAAAACGCAGCAGAAGCAGCCAGAGAATACGCACGAAGATTTTCAAACAGACGACATCCAACTCGCTCAGTATTTGTAAGAGTGCATCGCCAAATATTTAAAAATGGTTTTGAAAATCTCCAAAGGGATCAAAACATAAATGTTCGTCAGCGCAGATTTACCCGTATGACTCTGCGTGAGTTTGATAGAGATCCGACCACAAGTGTTAGGAGAGTTTCTGGTGCCTTGGGAATTTCAACAAGCCATGTTCACCGTGTTCTTATAAATAACCATAGACGTCCTTACCATTTGCAACCTGTACGACGACTACAGCCAGGGGACGGAGAACGAAGAATCACATTTTGAGTGCGAAGAATCAGTTTTTTTATTCAAAAAGCAAAAAATTACACTAAGAAAAAAATTTTCGGTCATTTTAATACACTACAGGTACAGTAGAGACCGCCCTCTAGCGGCTAGAGTAAAACTATGCCGATGGTTCGTTTTGTCGTACTAAAAAACCCTTGTATGCCAATTTTCACTGTTATACATCAAATATTGTTCGAAATATTTAAAAAAAACTATTTTAGAAAGTAAATATAAACACCTTGTATTTCGGAAGCCACGCATTTTTCGACCCATGTTTATTAATTAATTAATTTTAAAAGTTCTATCGAATCTTAAAGTTATGCAACAATAAACTGAAACACCCGTATGTTGTTTTGAAGAAAATCATGCGAGTCGTAGCCATAAACAAGAAATTGTTTCAAGCAAACAACAAACATTCTAAATTTTTTGCAACATCGACAGTCGATAATGATGACAATAACATTACCTACAACT